CTCAAACTCACAAAATTTTGAAAACTGGGGAATGTCATTCTGTCATTCCCTACTTCTAGCTGGGGCATATTCAGTTAGGTGTTGTGTTTAAACCAATCGGACAAATATAATCGGATGGGATTTTACCGTCGCAAAATACCTAATGGTATTAACAGCAGTATGTGCTATATATTTTTTTATAAGGTTCACTAAAAGGCACTTGATTTTACACACAGACCCACCTGATCGTCCATATTACACTTTGGTATTAACTTGTTTTTACAGGTTTCAATAGCAGCAGGGGTTTTCACATAGTATTATTCATTTGTTTTACCTGGAAGGGGATTGACTGTGGTGTGGCAGCTTGTACTGGAGGAGCAGCCGCCGGCTGTACTTGCCGTATAACATTCAACTGTTTCTTCCGTTCTTCAATTTGTTTCTTCATACTTGCCACCATTTCGCTGATCTGAGTGCTGCTCAGTGGAGTAGGCCTCTCTGTTACCTCGGAAATAGCAGGAGGCAATGGTACATTGTCCTCCTTTAAGGCGTCAAATCGACTCTGTTTTCGTTTGCTTTTCAGACTATCCATGTCTGTCCTGTCATCTCCCGTGTCATCTCCAAACACATCTTCAAGCGTTCGTTTCTTCGCCTGAGAACTTCTTCCAGCGCCCGAGGTCTTGTTGCTTTTTAACTGAGACACTTTGTCGAACAAGTCGTTCACAAACTGAGGGGCTAAATCATCTAGAAGCGACGATAGTTTTTCGCGGGATGAACTTCTATCCAAGTCGTTTTTCACGCAATACAGGGCAGCGTTAACTACGGTTTTCTCGTTAAACCCCAGACGTCGCTTCACAGTTTCTTCTACCCATGGTTTCAGTTCCTCTAACTCTCTTCTGCTGACAGCCATTTCTTTAACTGTGAACTTCAAGACGTTTAAAATCTAACAAGTTCTTATGCTTCACCAAGGCACGTTCCAGCCGCCATTTTGGATTTCGTTTTTACGACGTAGGCGCATTACACAAAATGTTGAACCGCTGATCAAAAACCCGCGGACTATTATCATTCCCAGTCTCTTTTGAGGAGATGATTTTCGCGCGCTTTGTACGAAGTTTGGTTTCCTTGAGTGTGAGCGTTCGACAGCGGAACAGAGTCAACAGAATGGGAATTCACGGTCTTTCCAAAGTGATCGGCGATCATGCACCTTCAGGATCGAAGGAGAACGAGATTAAGAACTATTTTGGTAAGTGAGAGTTTGATTGATGGCCATTTGTAGCAAAGAGACTTGAAGTTGAAACGAGCAGATTTCATCTGTCAACTTGAACGGGACGAGTTGTTAAGTTTTAAAATGATTTAAACTTAAGCTTAATTCTCATCGATCTAGAACGCCCAAGAGATTTTTAGTGAACGTATTGAAGTGATGTGGTTGTCATACGAGGAAAGAATTATACCGAGGATTCTACTTTTACCTTCTCCGCCACCCTACCCCNGCGCCCGGACTATCGGCCCTTTCTCTCTTAGTGTAGTGAGTCGGAGCAGGGGAGAAAACCAGATGACGTTTTTCAGAAAATGAAAGGTTACTAACACGTTGTATTCGGATTAATCATCAGTGATTTAAACAAAGCTGCAGTTAAATCTTTACATTCAAAAATCAATGTTAAACCTGAGGGTGGGGACCCCTGGGCATTTTTGGGGGTCATTTGAGTTTTCAGCAAAATTTCTGCTTATCCTTGACTTAAATGGGTAAAATTAGAGAGGTGTTCCATCAATTTCTGTTGAATGTAAGCAGTGGCAATTGGTACTTTTATCTGTTGAAAGCAAGTGCTTATCCTTAAGTAGCCACAACAATTTTTTTTTCTAAGATGGCTGCCATGATGATATGTCACAAGGTCTCAGGCCTCCTTGCAAAGTCAAAGATCCCTACCTTCAGGCCCAGACTCAAAGGGCCTCTAAATCAAATCCTGAGAGTGGAGATGGCATATAATTCATGTCAGTCGCCTTCCCCTTCACCCCTTAAATGCTAACCACAAGCAAACAGCAGTAAATAAATGCCAACCACGAGTAAACACAGTATATAAATGCTATCCGCAAGCAAATGGCAGTAAATAAAAGCAAACTACATATGTGTCCTACCATGAGTTATATCCCTTGGAGATGGTAAAAGATTAATACTTCATATCAAAAAAATAATTTATCAATGGTCTATTCCCTCTATGAATTGTGCCTGCAGGGAATCATGGTAGTTTTATTCATCAACACAAATATCCAGTCCAAGATGATGAATACAACTACCATGATTCCCTGCAGGCACGTCTCATGAAGGGAATAGGCCACTCATATAGCTCCTAAAGATACTCTTTCTTACCCTCAGTCTTGTGCTCTTTTAGAATAACTCTGTATTATATCAGACGTCTAATTCTGTTTCAGGAAGGAAAATTGCAATTGATGCTTCAATGAGCATTTATCAGTTTCTGATAGCAGTAAGGTCTGATGGTAGTCAACTGACCAATGAAGCTGGAGAAATCACGAGGTAAACACACCACTAGATCCACTAGATCACTAGGTCACATACAAGTACATACATGTTAATGTGTGGTTGGTTCAGTTGGTATAAACCTCCAAATGTAAGCCTTGCCTTTCTGTTTAACCTAGGGAGTTTTTTTTGGGGGGAGGGGATCATGTTTGGAAGGGCTGGGGGAATAATGGAGGGGTCATTTGTGAAAAGGGATTTTGTGATCAAAGTCAAACATAATACATACCATATAAGAAAACCCTTAAAATTTTGATAGTTGTTTTGAAAAGTACTTGAATTACGTGAAAATTCTTCAAAAGCGCTCAAACTTTTAATAAGGTTTCAAAACTATGTGAAAATTTAAATGTATGTCACATTTTGCTCCAAAAGATGTCAGTAAACTCTCCCTATTTGGGCCTTTTTTTTGAGTTGGGTGTTAATCACTCTGAAAATTTCAGTTTAGTCTCCTTAGAAGTTTTGATATTTTGAGACCCTCTGCCTTTAATTCACATTTAGTAAAATACAAAATCACTTCTATTGACTGTATCAATCAACATTTGACAGTCCTTTCAAAGTAAATTATCATTATTAACTAAGAGTTATCAATTGATTGATGTCTTGTTTAATTGTTTTTTCAGTCATTTGATGGGTATGTTTTATCGAACTATCAGGATGGTAGAAAATGGAATCAAACCAGTGTAAGTACACATGAGGGAAGACAGAGACTTAACAGACTCTGTTGTGTCTCCCAGGTTCATCACTACATTGCAATCTTGGGCTTTCCTCCACCCTGGTATTTGAATGGGTATAAGTGAATTGTTGGGGATAATCCAGAAATGAATCAGGATCCTAGCTAGGGAGTTGTCAAAATGCTCCTAGTCTCTGGATGCTACAGAAACCAGGATAAGCCGTAACTGTATCTGACACTTTAACCTGATGCAGACTTAAACTATCATGTTTACTGTAGGTTCTCTCAACCAATATGTCCGTTGATATATCATCGGTCAAGAGTCAGTTTACAGTTGGTTGATAGTCAATCAGCACTCGGTCAATTAATAATCAATTGACACTCAGTTGATAGTCAGTTGACAATTGGTCAATAGCCAGGTAATATCTTGGTTGAGATGTATGTATGTATAGATTTTAGTTCAATACTTCCCCAACACCGCTCTGATACCTTGCTGACACTTTGCTGTATCTAAACTTACACATAATTTGATGTTCTGGATATTACTATCCAACTCTACAGGTATGTTTTCGATGGCAAACCACCTCACATGAAATCTGGAGAGGTAAGCAGTGGCTTATACAAAATAAATCAGACATGAGAGCATGGAAGACTGTATTTCATTGTAGTTCCAAATGCTAAGAAGACAGTTGAAAACAAGCCATACAGCACACATTTTGTGACAAGATTCAAAATCAAAGTGTTTAGAAATGGGATGAAAAACTGTTTTGAATGTTTCATATATTATCAAATTGTAGACTTAAGATATATGCCATGTAATTAAGGCCAGACAACTATTTATGATGATGGATATTATTTCCTGTGTTTAAACTTGATGAAGATTTATCATTGAATTTGAGAATAAAATTTATAAATTCAAGCTTTGGTATTAACCTTGCTAACGAAACAAGATCACACCAGACAGTGAACAACATCCTTGAACTCTGGATGGAGATTCTGTTCCTCTGTGAGTGGAGTGATAAGAACTGCAGATGGAAAAAGTCCTTTTTTAAACATTTTAGCTGTCGTTCACACTATTTACAATACTAATAGCTATATACGCTACTAACAATTCGGGTCCTTACATTACTTACAATACTTGTTACACAATATTATAAATTACACCACTTGCAATGGAACAAGTCCTAAAATAAATTTTACTGCAGAGCTATTTTACAGCCTTAGGATGTAAATACAAGAATACCTCCCAGCAACCCAGAGTATCTCACAACATTAAACTGTTCTTTTGTTCTGTTTTCCTTTGTGTTCAGCTGGCAAAGAGAAGAGAGAGACGTGAAGAGGCACAGAAAGGACTGGCTCAAGCTGAGGAAACTGGTGAGTGAGTGGAGAAATTAATTTATGACATAAAACCAGATTTCTTGATGATTATAATTAGTGGTGTTTTTGTTTCTCTACCATGCTAGCACAGTCTCCTTCCTCTTTCCTGACTTATCTAGAAAAGATTGAAGCAACTGTGGTAGCAGGGTATGGTTTCTCTCTTTTATGACAGGGAATTTTACAACCCTCTTCCTTGTTTGTCGCTATTTTAAAAAATTTTAGTGCACTTGTAACAATTTGTCTTTGAATGTGGACAGCAAATCACAGCAATGGTGGTCTACTTGTAAGAATTTAAGCAGTGAAAATTTTTTTCGTTCATGATGCTGAAAAAGGAAAAAAAAATAGATAAACTCTTACTGCTCACACAGTTTTTTTACTGGATTGCTGTGAATGTACAGTTTAGCAGAAATACTGACATTCATTATTTATTTAACACACTTTACCACACTTAAGAGTAAGATCCTTGTTCATGTTGATTATTACAATGTCATTGACCGCAAGGCCTTGTTATTCTGTTGCTGACAGGTGATGCAGAAAGCATGGAGAAATTTTCTCGCAGATTGGTATGCATTAACCTTGGATATACATGTATATGTCCTGAATTGTTTTTGACAAATAGTGTAGAATTTAGTTCCTCATAGCATAACATTTTTGCTTCTCTTAGCATTAAATTTTTAAGGGCAAGTTATTTTTCCCTCTTCATGCAGATGCACAATGAGGGCAAACATTACTGTGTGACACATGGAAAGTAGCTACTAATGAAACTGATTTGACCATTTCGTACATTGTGAATAAATCCTAGACTATTAAAAGTTATCATGAGACATGAATTTTGTTAAAAAGCAGGCATGAAATGGGATCTTGGATACCTTTCCTACCTTCTTGTGAAGTAAAATCATTATGGTTAGGCACATATCTAGTCTGAGTTTGATGTACACAACATTCTCGATGCACTATAGTGAAAACTTCATCAATTAAAATGAATTGGAAATGAAATCTCAGTTGTTTAAACCATCTTGTTATAGGTCAAAGTTACTCCAGAGCATAATGCTGACTGCAAAAAATTACTTAAGCTCATGGGAATTCCATACATTGAGGTGAGTGAATGTATCAGTATGTAGAGATATGACAGTTGCCACCACGCCAATAAGGAGAGAACACTGTGTTGACTCGAAGGTTTAATATACGACAACTTGAATCAATGGCGAGCACATGGAACAGACCTAGTCCAGATGTGCGTGTGCAGCGCTAACAACCGCTGGGTACAATGTAAATAATGTAGTGGCGCTATCAAATTTTCAAGTAAAACTTCTATAATCCGGCCCGCTGCCTTAAAAATAAAGCTATCACGAACAGAAGCACCATAAATATCAGACCCAAAACTCCTTTGAATAAAATGTCTTCGATTATAACCCTCTGAGGAACATCCCCAACAGGGTTCTTCAATCCTACCATCCCAACCAGAATTTTCCCTTGGTCCTATAATCCCGATGGTTTCTACAGGGTAATCGTGATCTGGGTCACATTTTCTTAAGTCCCTTACCTCAGACGGTCGCTTGGTTGGTCAGTCAGTCGGCCAAAACACTGGAGAACAATTTATGATCATTTTCTTGACATTGGAAGTTACCATGGTAATAATCATATTTTGTTCCCCAATGATCAGGCACTTGTTTGATACGATTACTATGGTATCAATGGAAAGGGTGTTCATTTGCAGTTGCGCCATCCATTCTCAATGTCAACCCCATGTTTTGGAATAATAATAAGCCACAACCCCGAATTATCTCTGTAGTCTAGGGGCCCGTTTCTCGAAAACCCTGGAAACTTTTCAGGCCTGCAAAGCCATTTTTAGTTAATCTGTATTTAAAGACAGAGAGGTGTATATGCCTGAAACTTCTTGTATGAAGAGAAGCTCTGTTTATATTAAGAATGTGTGCATAAAACAGCTTTGAAGTGATAAGGTTTGAGATTTTGCTACAGCTTTTTGGGTGCAAAAACTTTTCGGGACCTTTGAGAAATGGGCCCCAGGGCTTTTATCAGATTTTATGGTATACCGATATTAGCTTTTTTATCTTGTTATTAGGCTCCCTGTGAAGCAGAAGCACAGTGTGCAGCCTTGGTTAAAGCAGGAAAAGTATGTCAACTTAATCTTTTGTATTTAGTTTCATCTTCATGCCTTTCCCCTTTAATAGGGAATACAAATGTATAAATGTGTAATGTATTGTCCTGCTGCATCAGTCACAACAGGCAGAATTGTTTCTTGATTTTAAAATCAGTCCTTGAAAAATGCAGGTTCAAAATGTTATGAATGTTAAATAATAGACCTCGTCTACCAGTTCAGTTGACAAAGTACATGACTGTTCCATCATAAATTTTCATAATTGCAGGTTTATGCAACAGGGACAGAAGACATGGATGCCCTGACATTTGGCTCAAGTGTTCTTCTGAGACATCTCACCTTTAGTGAAGCCAGGTTTGTATCACACAAAGGTTTCCTCTGTTGTTTCTGCTATGTTGGTTTTACTGCTGAAAGGTTTTACAGGCTTATGTTGATCTTAACACAGTCCAATGCTATTTCCATGAAAATGTAGTTGCTGCATACATCACATTTAACTCTTTAACTACCAGGAGTGATCGTAATCTAAGTTCTCATTACAATACCAATACATTTATGAGCAGGTAGGTATTGAGAATAAAGTAAATCATCAAAAAAGCGATATTGTCTGGATAAATCACCTCTTACTCAGAACTAACATATTTATTTTTACTTAACAGGAAAATGCCAATAAGGGAATTTTATTTGGACAGGATTCTTGCTGAACTAGAGCTTTCACATGATGAGGTAAGTGCCGCGTCGTCTGTTGTAAAATCATATATGATGTGCTGGGAGCATGTAGAGCTCACCATTCTCTTTTTAGTGTACATAAAAAAACTTTATATGGCAAACTAGTCCACAAGAAAAAGGTAAATTTTGTTGGGATCTCAGTGGTTCAAATTTTGCAAAACAGCCAGTTAAGATGAACCACTCATTAATTAGTTCCAGTAGGCTGCAGAACTGTACTTTTCACAAAAGAAAACAGTGTGTTAAGTAGAAATTTTCTTTCCTTCACATTTGGCCAACAATTTTGGTTAAACGTTCATAAAAGCGCCCTAAAAAACGAAAATAAATTGTTACCTTTAGTGTGCGTGTTTACTGTGGATTGATTGCAGGGATGTATCAATTTATCAGTGGAGTCTTAAGTACAGCCATTGTAAAAAAGAACATCACTGAACTAACTTGCCTGGTCAGCATTGGGGGATATTGGTCTTTTTCCTCTTTCAAACGTCTGTTCTCAGCAGGTTCTGTCCATAAACTTGCAAAGCAAAACAACTCAACTAATATTTCCCCAAAACAGACCTTATGTTAGTTCAACATGCATCTCACACCATTAACATTGTCTGCAGTAACCAAGTCAGAGATGAAGATTGATATTGTAATTAACTCTCCTACAGTTGTCATGGAACACGATCATTATTATTTTTTCACTTATGTAACAAGGATACATGCATGGACTGACTTTTACCATTCGATAATTAGCTCACGTGAACTATGGGCAGATTATTCCACTGGCTAACACATCTATACATGTCTATAATTTGCTGTTATCAACTGGGTTGATTATGTGAATTGGCCACCATAAAGAGATTCGAAAGCTGATGTTTTGAGAGTTAGCCCTTCATCGGAGTGAATCCGCTCCAACGAAAGACTAACACTCGAAACGTCAGCTTTTGAATCTTTATATGGTGGCCAATTCACATTATCAACCCAGTTGATAAAACCAAATTATCTTGTTATACTCCCCACCGACGCAGCACCACAGTTTCTTTAGAAACTTACCCTCTCTATACACATCTATACTGGCTTAACACATCTATACTTAGATAGTAATCAGTCAACTTGTCAGTTGTCCATTGACCAAGATGAGCATCAGCTGACTTGGTTACTAGTTTGTTGCCATTTAGTCATTGGTACCTATCAATAACACACATGATCCTGATACCTTACGATCCAATTGGACACCACATCTAAAATTTATGGAGAACAGTCAGAATATTTTGTTTGGCTTAACCAAACTTCATCAGCCAGTAAATATTGTAGCAGATGAAGTTCAGTTAAGGTGAACGAAATATTCCACTTTTAATAATTTTTATTGCACTCTGAGTACGGAAAGTTATTTTAAATTTAATTATTTTGAAGGCTGCTCCCACTTGGATGGATGTACATGTGGATGTCAATATTATGTCATTCCATTTCTTTTTTCCTTTTCAGTTTATTGATCTCTGTATTCTGTTAGGCTGCGACTATTGTGACTCTATCAAAGGTACAGTTCTTTTCTACATCAAGGACATGGTAAAAAAGTTCAAAGATCACTTGTTTATGACAACTATTCACTGTGGGCAAAGTGAATCTTGGCTACTGCTCCCTGAGAATAAGTTGCCCGAAGTTGGGTGGAATATTCTACAAGACTCACTGAGCTTGAGGCAATTAA